TTGTGTGGTCTGCTCGCACACCGCGGCGACCGGCCGCGCGCATGTATTTATTTGTAATTGTAATTATTTTGAATACGCTCGTCGATCTGTCTCGTCTCTTCTCAGCTGGCCGGCTCCCACCCCGCACCCGCACCGTCCACGAGCGCCCCCCAGACGCGGTGCACGCTGTCTAAATACCGTATTACTAATAGAGTCAAGTCAAGAATCGACAGACTGATTACAGACCGTTATTGCAGACCGCGTTACACTCCGTACTCGCGCTGGGCCGCTGCCACCGGCTGCCGCTGGGGAGGAGCAGGCGCGATTGGACCTGGGAAGGAGGTGAGCTGGGATCCTGGGAAGAGATCACGGCTCTGCTCTGAATGAGTGGACTCGCTCCTTCTCACGGGGATTCTCTTTGTCCGCGGCTTGCGCTCTTCAGTCTTCTTGTCGCGTACCCCCCATCTAGCGAGTTCAAAACAGAGAAGCCCATAAAAAGTCGCCGCGGCAGTCCACGCCGAGCCGACCTGCTGCCGGCTCGCACGGCAGCCCTTTCCTCTCGACCAGCCTCAACTTCCGTACAGTCAACATTTTGTCGCTGCGTGCTCGTGGCGAGCTGTGGCGGCGGTCGAAGTTGGCCCAGATTCGACGACGAGCGCCGGATGATAGTAGTGTCTCTGTTCGCCCTGTGCATGTCAGGCCAGGCTGCAGCAGGGCACTACCATCGTGCTGCCCTGTTGCAGCCTGACTTTTCCCACTGTGCACAGTCGCCAGAGCACCACCACCGCCCGGCATCGTGTCACGGCGAGCTCCTTCTGCGCCCGCTCGCGAGATTAAGCGAGTACCCCCTGCTGCCCGAGGGTCGTATATTAGCACTTTATCGATCAACACTTTCGATAGACCGAAAGTAAGATCGTTCGGTGCAGAAACCCCGGCACTGCCCATGTAACGCAATTGTGCTCGATTTTTGGTCGAGAAGTGTCTCCAAGTCTTCTGGACCCATCGATGGCCGTCGCCTCGACGCCGCTCGTCGCGGCACCATCGTGCCCGGCCTGGGCGAAGCATCGTCGCGGGCGCCAGCCGCAGTTCGACGGCAAGCCGTGCGAGCCTGCCGAGGAGGAGGACATGTGGCTGTGCCTGGCCGACGGCCGCGCGCGCAGCACCGCCGACCTGAAGCGCCTGGCGACAGCCGCTCGGGTGCGAGCGAAACGAGCAGGAGATGCAGCCGCCGCGAACACGCGCGATCGGCAGGCGCGCGACCAGCGCCGCCGGCAGCGTGAGCAGCACGACCGGCGCGCAGCGCCGGCGGTCGCCAAGACCGTGCGCCCACAACGCGGCCAGTGCGGCTGCCCGGCGCACGCGGTGTGCGGCATGTGCGTCGACCAGGGCAAGTTCGCCGCGGCCGAGCAGGCGGCCATCGACCTGGAGACGCGCTTCCACGCCTCGACGAACGTCGTCATGGACCTGGAGCGGCCCGAGGACGAGACGGCGGCGCTGCTGCAGAAGAGTGGTGAAATTAGAAAAGGAGTTGCGGTGTTGATCGCCGCGGGAGCCCTCTTATTGGGTACATAGAGGGGTGGTGGGAAGCCACCACGTCCCTTCAAATTTTCCGCCACAGAGCTCGGGAG